AGCTGGAGGCCATTCCCTCTCCTCCTGTCCCTTGTTCCCTGGGAGCAGAGCCCGACCCCCCCCCCCCCCCCCCCCCCCCCCCCCCCGGCTCCCCCCTCCTGTCAGGGAGCTGCAGAGCCAGAAGGTCTCCCCTGAGCCTCCTTTTCTCCAGGCTGAGCCCCCCCAGCTCCCTCAGCTGCTCCTGCTGCTCCAGCCCCTTCCCCGGACACGCTCCAGCCCCTCTCGGTGTCCCTGCTGTCATGAGGGGCCCGGCCCGGCCGCGCTCGGGCCCGGCCCGTCCCCGCCCGCCGGCGCAGGCGCGGCTCTGCCCGGCCCGGCGGCCCCGCGGGATGCGGGCGCTGCGGCGGCTGCACGAGGCGGTCCTGGCGCTGCTGCTGTGGCGGGGCCCGGCCCCGGCCCGGCCCGCGGCCTCGGAGGTGCTGAGCCAGCACCTGCGGCAGCGCCGGCTGCCCCACTGGACCTCCTTCTGCGTCAAGTACAGCGCGGTGCGCAACGACCAGTTCGGGCTCTCGCACTTCAACTGGCCCGTGGACGGCGCCAACTACCTGGTGCTGCGCACCGGCTGCTTCCCCTTCATCAAGTACCACTGCTCGCGGGCCGCGCCGCAGGACCTGGCGCTGCAGAACGCCGCCTTCACCGCGCTCAAGGCGCTCAACGCCGGTGAGCGCGGCCCGGCCGGGCCCTCTGGGGCCGCGGGGGACGGGGAGAGCCCGGGGAGGGCAGGGCGGGATCGGGCAGAGCCTGAGGGGGAGCGGCGGCGGGGGAGGGCCGGGACGGTGGCGCTGAGCGGGGAGCTCCGGCCCCTTTCCTTGTCCCCCTCTCCTTGCCCGCCTCTCCCTCTCCTCCTTGTCCTCCTCTCCTTGCTCCCCTCTCTTTCTTCTTCTCCCCCTCCCTCTCCTTCCTTCTCTCCCCTTGTTCCCCTCTCTTTGCCCTTCTCCCCTTCCTTCTGCCACCCTCTCCTTGTCCTTCCCCTCCTTGACTCTTGTCCCTCTTCTCCTTGTCCCCCCCTCCTTGTCCCTTGTTCCTCTCTCCTTCTCCCCTTTTCTTTTTCCCCTTCTCCATATCCCTTTCCCCCTCCTGCCCCGCTCTCCCTGTCCCCGTCCCCTCGTCCCCCTCCTTGTCCCCCTCCTTGTCCCGGAGCGGGCTCCGTGAGCTCAGAGAACCCCCCGAGCTGCGGCTCCGGGAGAAGGCAGAGCTGTAAATCGATACTGGGGGAGGTTTCACCGAGTTCGTGTTTCTCCGGCCACTTGTGAGAGCAACAAATCAAACGCGCCAGCGCTTGGTGTTTAAATGGCTCTCACCTTTAGTACGGAGCGTTTTCCATCTGAAAATCTGGATGCCGTGGATGAAGTTCTGACCTCTGAGCGAATACACAAACATCAGCTGAAGCCAAACTCTGGTTCTGGGCTAATCTTTGCCTCTTCCACACCGGCAGTGTCTGCTTTGATCCTCATGTGCTGCTGGAATATAAATCCTTACAATAAAAATGCTCCGTCAGCACTTCATCATTAATATAAAAATAAGTATAAATAAGTTTTGAAACACGTTCATTCAAAACTTTGGCTGTGGATACAATGCTTATAAATGCTGACAGTGACAGTGGCATAACATTTCATAAGTTTGTTGTTTTCATATTTATTTTTTAAAAATCTCCTTCACTTTACAAGTGGTCAGTGACTTTTTTTCAAAACATGTCTGCTAGTCTTCATTTTCTGATCTTTCCAGACTGATCTAGTGAGAAAATACAATCACAGAGACTGATTTTGTAAGAACAACTTTAAATTTGGGGTTTTTTTCCCCTCCATCCAGTCAGACCTTTTATCTTTCTCACAGCTCCCTGCAGGTAGATTTAAATTATGGGAAAACATGATTAAAAAGTCACCTCTCCTCCTTCACAATCTTGCTTAAGCATTTGGATACTTCAAGCACGTTAAATGTGGTGTTTTCTGAACCTTTCTGGATTCAAGGCCTAAATCCATCTCCATTTTTCCTTCTATAATAAATAAAATATTGTCTGTAATAGATGGGTAACTTGGCAGTGCTGAAAAATATGTCACTTTTTGTATATAAACCTTTCTGCCCGTTGCAGTTCTGTTGGGGTTGGGTCTGATTTTCCCAAGGGCAGCTTCATGTTCATCTGTGAACTCACTGCCTGTTTTCCATCCTGTCTCTGCTCTGATTCATAGACAAACTCTGATAATGTAGTGGATGTCCAGGGAGTTTGGGTTTAGTGTTTATATATTTATATATATATATGTTTATATGTTTGTGTGTTTATATATATATATATATAATTGGTAGAAATCAGGCTGTGTGCGTGACCATGTTTCACTCATTTCATATCATTATCCTCCTGTTTTCTTTTTCTCATAATTCCTGTGTATCCCTGCTTTTCTTTGGCTATTTCCTGACTCCCGTGTGCTCAACACACAGAAAGGGTGTTTTGTCCTGTGAGCTGCCTTTGAGGAAAGGCAAAATTATGAAGCAGCTTTTCCAGGAATGCTTTCCCTCTCGTTTCATTTTGGAGTCCTCATTTACTATCAATTTGCAGTTTAATTTTCCCTGCCTTGCTCTCTTTGTACGTAACATGTTTTTGTCTTTCCTTAGGCATCCCAACTTTACTGTATGGAATTGGCTCCTGGTTCTTTGCCAGTGTCACAGAGACTGTTCAAACGAGTCACGGCCCAGTTACTATTTATTTTCTAAATAAAGAAGACGAAGGAGCCATGTACTGAACTCAGGCCTTCAAGTCCCTGTTGTTTGGTGGTTTCTGCTGCAAATATTTGCTCCCTTTGACTAAAAAGAACTGAAGGAAACTGTTATTTTCTTACAGTGCATCCTCATTTTTAATGTGCTGGTTCAAGAAGCTTCCTGGACTTTTTGGTCATGAGAGATTTATTTCTGCAGAGGTCAGTAAAGTTGAAAAGGTAGAAGCTTTGGGAGAAGAATTAATATTTCTAAGGGGGTTTATGGCAGTCACTGACTGGTGCAGCTTGTGATAATTTAAAGATCATTTACCAAATTAGAGAACTGCCTGTGGACAAGTAAAATGTGAATATGAACACACTGGCATTTTCAGAATGTCTCTGAAAAGATGAAGCTGCTCAGGTTTAGACTCTTGACAGGATGTTTCACAATGCACTAATTGTTAGAGTTGGAACTTTGAATGAATGAATTTGTGGCACTGACTTTACAATCACCTGGAAGAGCCTGAGAAGTTCAAAATGGCTGTATCACATTTCTTTAAATGATATTTAAATAAAAAAATCTAAAATACATTTGATGCTTGTATCTTTTGCAATTCTTGGAACTCCAGGTGTGTTATTATTTTTAATTTTAATTGCTTTTTAGGTAAGTAACAAAACCTAAGTGATCTAGAAGATTCAGTCCCCTGTGCTAATTTACAAATTGCTGATATTTTTAATTAACACAGGAGAATAAGAACACTACTCTCATTTTTTTGATGCAAATAACTGATTTCTCCAGTTTTAACAGCAAAACTTACAGGCACGTGTAATGACAGAATGACTTCAGCTGGAAACCTGGGCAGAGAAGAAGCTTTTGGGGAGCTGTTTGGATAGTGGAAATATGGAATTATTGGGCATTAATTTCAAACAACAGAGAGACCTGTACAGGATCTATTACTGGTGCTTGGTTTTAGTGCCAGCAAATAATGCTGTTGGTTCCAAATCCCACGTCTGGTGACGTAAGTTGGTCATTCCAGTTTTCATAAGTGGGAAAATAAACGTAAAATTGGCAGGTGCTGGTTTTGGAGGGTAACCTCTGCTCCTCAGTAAGTTATTATCAAGCTTTGACTACAGGATAATTTCATTTAAATACTTTCTCCTGAATTCCGTGGAAGTGCTTCCCACTTAATGAAGTGCAGCTTTGCTAAAAGCGACACTAAGCACTTTAATCAGAGAAGTTTCATTTTGTTTAATTTTGGAGCCTGTTCTTGACACAAGTTTACTGTGTCTCCAAGATGAAGAGATGGGATTACAAGAACCCTCATTAATAATAAAAGTTGCTCTTAGCATCTTCCCAGAGCTGATTTTCCCCGTGAAAGAACGGCAGCTCATAAGTTTAAAGTCAAATACTGCTCATTCATTGCCACGGAGCTCGTCAATACCTGGCTGTAAAGGTTTGGGCTCAACACAGGCTTGATAAAATGGTTTTTAATTACCAGACCATAAATACAGCACTTCATTGGAGCTGGTGCTGCTCTCACTGCAGCTTGTTTGATTTCTGATAATGGGCACTGCTGACTTTGCTTACCTGTTTTTCAATAACTGCAGGCAACACGCCTCCTTGTCCATACGGTGATGGGCAAGGCTCCTTGGAGAACATCTCTGACAAACTACCCTATTGATCCCTGCAATTCTGTGCTGCTCACAGCATTAAATAGGGCCCTGATTTCTTGTTCAATGATCTCACTGTGTAACAATTAAGCAAATGTAATATTTTCTTGTATTACATGAAAATCAATAGACCTCTTGCTCTTACGAAGCTGATCGTGCTGAAGGATGAACTGGAAGATGTCTGAGGGCAGAGTGCAAATATAATATCATTTATTCCTTTCATTAAGGCTCGTGTGGGAGCTCTTACAGGATTTCAGAGGGAAAATTGGCTGTTTATGAGGGATAACGCTGGAGTTATAATAATTTTCAAGTATGAATATAAACCTACTTGCTTTTCTTCAAAGGTAGAACGTTTCATCTGACTTTCACTCTCCTTTTGCCATTAGTACACGCTGCTTAGTGTCTCTTTTTTATCACTTAGGTTTTGGCTTGAATGCAGGATGGAAATACTGGGGGCCAAGAGGATTCACAGCACCTTGTCCCAAAACTTTCTTGGGGGGAATAACTGATCCACAAAATGACCCTTCTGCCTTTACAGGTTTGCTCTTCCATTTCAAACAAAGTCTGAGTTCATCTCCTAAGCCTTAATTATCTCTGCCCTATTCAAGAATGATGTTTAAATGAGGGAGAGCCGATGTTAAGAAGCCAGAGAGCTTTGTTTCACCTCACTTAACTACTTCAGAGAGATGAAACCTCAGCCTAAACCCAGAGGATCAGGTGGCTCCTCCTCGTAGCATCTCTTTAAACAATAATGACTGTTGGGGGCATCTTAACCCGAAGGAGCTCTTGGTGTTCCACCTCACCCGGGGTCAGGGGGCTCAGGTATCCCAGTTAAACTGTGCTACTGTAAATTAATGGAAAATGTAACTGCTCTGCTGAAAGATCAATGTCCAATAAGGGCTGCACAATCAAATCTTGTTGTGATGATTGAGGCCCTTAATTGCCTCTCAAAGATAAGGTGGTGATCAACACACGAGGAGCTGCTCTTTGTTACCGGTTCAATGACATGCTAATGAGAGCAGCCAAGGCAGGAGCTTTAACTACTTATACTTATTAAATCTTATGTTTGCTGTGAAAAATGACTTAAGCCCCACAATCGATGAAGCCCAGGTCTTAATTACTATATTTCACTTTTATACCTTTTTTGTATGTTTGACAAATGTTTCACCACAGGCTCTGTGCAGCTCTAATGAGAGTTACCCCAAGAAATGTTTTTTTTTCCGGTGGTGTCTCCTTCCAGTGGTGGTAACACAGGGGTGGTTTGGTTGTTTGAAAGAAGTTTTGTGACTAGGAATGCAAACAGGGGCCAGGCAGCTCATCCTGCTTAAATATTTTTGGATATAACATCACCCCTTGTACCACTGGTTGATGTAATCCTTGCTAAACCTCCAGGTGGACGTGAAGTTCTTACCTTTTTGTCCCATTGTAAATTAATATTGGATTTAGATACTAGTCAGGGTTGATATTCCCAAGTGTATTTGATTAGTGCTCTCTTATTATCTCAAAAATCATTTCTCCACTCTTCAGGGACACCTGGAGCCACCTGACCTTCCACTGACTTGAGCAGAAGTTGGATCTGTCCTCAACTTACCTTTTGTATTGACCTAAATCTCTTTGCAAACCAGAATTAAAGATCTCCCTGATGTACATTATTATTGAATAAAATTTAGCTATTTCTTAATAGTTGAATGCCCTCAGGCCTCTGCTTTAAAGCAACTTTGCCTGAAACAAAGGAGAATTTGCTTCATATATTATTTACTTTGGCCATTTAATTTAAATTGCCTTTTGCTGTAGCTCCTTACTCATGTTCACTGCAGAGAAGTAAGTTAATAAATCTGAGAGTTGTCTTGATTTCTTTCCCTGGTTCTGGAAACAGATGTCAGGTTACACTTTTTGGGCTGTATTTTTCAGTTTAAATACACCTAAGAAAAAGTGGCAACTCCACCATTGCATCAAGGGGATGTAGAACTAAAATTGTCACTAATACATCCCAAGTTTGTTTAAAAGATTTATTTCTAGAAAAGAATAAGATGTTGGTTTTGCATTTAAGTCTTTTAAAAAGCAAAATACACACGACTTAGAGTGATTTCAAAAGCAAATTGCATCACTTTAAGCACAGTTTATGAGCCCTGTTCTAGTTCATTAGAAAACCAATCTATTACTTTCAGTGATATTAATAATCTTAATAGAATTAACACCACAAAACATGATTAAAAGCAATCCTGTGGACAAGAAGTTTGATCAAGGAAACTTCCAAGCTTAAAAGGTAAGTTTCAAATTTTAACACCTGATTTTTACCAGGTTTAACCCCCAAAGCTGGTTTTATTCTTACAAGAAGAAATGCCATCAGATCTCATTGTAACGTGCTTAGTGATTCATGGGCCTGGGTATCCACGTGCTTGGTGAGATATGAATTATTTAGCAAGAAAAATCACAATAATTTTGTTGTTACTCAAGAATTTATAGGTTGACAGAAAAAACAATTATGCAGCCCCTGCAGCTGGTGGGGGGACAGAACATCATTAACCACACACAGCCACTGTGGCCCAGGCCAACTGCTGGAGTTACCTCCAAATCGTGTAATCTGCTTTATTTCAATATATCTTCATCATTTAAAGCAAGAACCCAACATTTACTAATTCAGCCTAAATCAAGTTTACCTTTGTTTTGGTTTTTTTTCACTCCAAGAGGAGTTTACTGTGAGGAAGAGCTTTAAAAGATCTATCTGAGGTCTGATTCTGCTCCCCGTGAGTTGAAACGAAGATCAATTATTGAAACTGAATTGAAAATAAGATCAATTATTTCCTGATATTTGGTTCACAAACACTCCTTTGCCTCTTATTCCAGAGAAACTGCAGAGTGACTGGAAGGGCTGGTGGGGAGGCAGTTTTGTGGAAGCTTTAATGCTTAAGGAATGTTAATCCATACATGTATCGATTAGGGTGGAGCACTTGGTGATTCTTTCTAGGAGATGCATTTGAGGGAAGAATATGTTTAGAAAGCCTGGACACTGTTGACCTACTTTTTTCAGGAGCCTGAGGGAATTCAGTTTGCTGCACTCCCGAGCTGTTGGAAGACATGGGAAGGGAAAGAAAAAAGGTGGATTTCACCACGATCCATTATTTTATAAACACGTATCAATGTCTTTTCTAAAGGACAGGAAAACGTGGGCTCCTAAAACAACGATCAGCTGCCATTTTTTCCAGGGAATGAAGAGCTTGTCCTGTGTTATTTTTAATTCCTGCCTGGAAACTGGCACAGGGAGGAAGCAGAGATGATAAACTGAATCCAGTGAACCAAGGACTGGCACATAGATCCTGGTTCCTGGAGTCTGTTTTATATAAACTGTATTGAATTCCACGTAACATGTACTGGGAATACAGCATTCCAAAACATTTTAATAGTTAAATGTTTACTGTTGAACTGTGGTACATAGTAAATACATGTTGTTCCTGTGTCATAACTGGGCAAATTCCAGTAGTAGTGAGGTTAAATTCCCAGAGATGCTGAGCAGGAGCTATAATGAAAATGTAGGACTTTCTGACTCCATCCTCAGCGTCCTTCCTGTGCCTCCTGCCCCTTTTATCCAGGGATCTGAGCCCAGGACTAGAGGAATTTTGGGTCCCAATTTTGGTTGCACACTGTAACTCCTGACAGGAGAGACTGAGCTCCCACATCCCTCCAGCAACAGCAAGGAAAAACCCAGATCCAGATCCTGGAATATTCAAGAATACTACCAGGAGAATTGCTCCTTCCTTCCTCCCTCTTCTTTGGACAGAGTTCTGGTGGAGGGGCTCAAAACTCCATTATATGATATCCGTGGCAAAGATAGAAAATGACTTGGGTTGGGCAACTTTGCAGAGGGAATTAAACAAGCAATAACTCCTTTCCTTACTTTTTTGAAGGCCTTGCAAATCATCCCGATAACCACAGCGCGGTGGGATTTTTCCCGGAGCGCTCCTGTGAGATTCCAACCTAATGATTTTCCTGCCCGTCTGCATCAGCATTTTGCTTTTCCTTGGTAATAAATATTTATTTTTCTTGCCGTGGCCACCTCCAGCTCCCCCCCCCCGTCCTCTCCACGGCGCCGGGAAGCAGCAGAGAGCAGCAGCAGACTGCGAGTAGCGAGTCTGGCACTGCTGGAGAACGTTTCCCCCCCACAAAAACAACCAGAATTTACACCAGTCCCGGGCTGCTCCACTGTCCTCCTGTAATTAAAGAACTGATATATTGTTCCTTTGCAGGTTTCGAATGCTGCTGCATTGTGGATCCACAATAACTTTTGAGGCGTAATTATAAACAGGAAATTACGCGTGGTTCTTGCTGACGGGGTGGCAGCTGCATTTCGTGGGGAAAATCAGCTTAATTGTTTATTAATTAATTAATTATTTTTACTTCTAGGAGCCTTCAACCTCCTGTGTCAGGAACTTTTTAAGAGGAGATTCTCGGGGCGGTCAAACACAGGACTTTGAGGATATTTTATGATGCGTATTAAAAAAAATCATAGATTGTGTTCCTGCATCACAGATTTTCCCCCAACGTCGAGGACAAAAACATAGAATTGGATTTTGGTGACATTCTGTTCTCACAGCAGGAATTCTGCGGGCTGATAAAATAAATATCAACTGTTTGTTTCAAATGCTGCCTTAAGAATGAAAATTTCTGATCAAGCATAGGTTTTAAAGAAGTCTGGCAAAACCAAAGCTGTATGAAAAAAACACATGATTTTATATCTTAAGATATAAAAACCCTTCAAGTTTGATTACACAAATCAGAATGGGGGATTAAGGTTATGATTAGCCCTGGAAAATCTACATAATATTTATGCAAATTTGGCAAATTGAGTTGGTTTTCCCCATAGCCTTGTAAATGAAAAAGACATTTTAGAAAAATTGCAGGTCTATAGAAATTCTCTCATTTTGTGTCCTATTCTTTAAAATTTAATAGAAAATGAGTCTGATTGAAATGAACCTGAGTGAAAGGTACACAGGGACTGCAGGTAAAAGGTTCATTTGAACAGAAAGACGTCTGTGTGGGCAGCACCAGTCCCTTAGATACTTAGGAGTTGGGGCTCTATTAATTTTTAGTGTAGGAACTAAATTATAAAGTTATTGAACAGAGAGAAAATTTATCTCTGTTAATGGCCATTGAAAGATCTTTTTTTTTTTCCTCCTAAAGCTCAAACAAAGTAGAATTCGAATAAGAGGAATCTTGAAGATGTTTCAGGAATTAAATCAAATATACCTCCCACTTCCCCCCCCCCAAATTGATAATATAACTCAAACAGTCCAGTTTGTCGTAGATGATAATGCGAGAGAGTGTGATAAAATGCACAGATCAATAGCCCACAATTGAGATTAATGCTCTGCTGTTAATAAAAAGAAATGGATAGTTTGGAGCTGTGTGGAGGGGAGAGCGTTCCCTGTCACTGGTGTCAGGTGAAAAGCTTGTTTTAAAAACTGAATATAGTGTGTCACGGCTCGGGGCTGTGGTGGGGAGGTGCAGAGCTGTCAAAACACGTTCTTTGCTGCTGTGAAGGACGTGGGATGTGAGGCTTCAACGGGGATTTCTCTCCTCACAAAGCTGGGTCGCGTTTTGGACTGGGCTCGTGTCCCCAGCATCCCTGACAGCCACGGAAGAGCTCAGCAAAGGCAGAATTGCATCTGGGTACCGGTAAAGGAGGTGTTTAGCTGAGAGTTCTGTGATTTGGAAACAGTGATGTTGGTAAAACTGCTCCAATACTTAACTCTTACTACAGATGTTGGGCTGTGCGGGAACACGGGGCAGCCCATTCCCAGTGCCTGGTTTGCTGTGCCGGGACAGGGAGGCACAGACGGACACACCGGGCGAGCGGGACACTCCCGGGGCCACGGGATCATCGAGCCTGGGGGAGACTAAACATCCAGGGAGACTAAAAATCCAGGGCAACCATCACCCTGTCCCCTACACCGCCCCCCTCAACCACGTCCCAGAGTGCCTCGGGAACGCTTCCCTGGTGACTCCACCAGCTCCGGGGGAGGTTCATTCCAACGCAAACTGGCGTTTGGTCCCTGCCGGTGTGTCTGTGTGGGCAGGAGCCCCGGGGGCTCTGAGGGTTCAGACCCCAACTAGAATCACAGAATCAGCTGGGTTGGAAGGGATCTCCGAGATCATCCAGTCCAACCCTTGATCCAACCCCGCCGTGGTTCCCAGCCCATGGCACTGATGCCACATCCAGTCTCTTTTTAAAAATCTCCAGGGACGGAGAATCCACCACTGCCCTGGGCAGCCCACTCCAATGGCTGAGCACCCTCTCTGGAAAGAAATTCTTCCTAATATCCAACCTAACCCTCCCCTGGCACAGCTGAAGACCCAGCCCTCTTGTCTTGCTGATACCTGGAAGAAGAGACCAACCCCCCCCGGCTCCCCCCTCCTGTCAGGGAGTTGCAGAGAGTGAGGAGGTCTCCCCTGAGCCTCCTCTTCTCCAGGCTGAGCCCCCCCAGCTCCCTCAGCCTCTCCTCGCCGGGCACTGCGCGCACGGGCAGCGCCGGGCACCTGGCGCTGCTTTTACAGCAACCCCAGCCCGGTTCGATCCGCCGCCTCAGCTGCGCTTTTCCTGCTCGAACACAAGGAATAACACAAGGCATAAAGGGGGTGGAACTACCGCCGGAGCGCTCCCGCTGCCCGGGGCGGTTTCCCAACCCGGAGCCGCCTCCTCGCCGAACATGGCGCCGCCTCCCCTTCCTCCCCTTCCTCCTCCTCCTCCCCCGCCGCACATCCATCCCCTCCCGCCGTTTTGGTTCCGGGGCAGCGGCTCCTTCCTGCGGGCGGGCGGGCGGCGGAGCCGGGCCCGGGAGCCCTGGGCGGCCGCAGCATGTGAGCGCCGGGGCGGGGATGCTCTGGCTGCTCTGCGGCCCCTCCCGCGCCATGGACGCCCAGGCGCTCGTCATCCGCATCAAGATCCCCGACGGGGCCGCCGTGGACTGGACCGTGCACTCCGCGCCCCAGCTGCTCTTCAGGGATGTGCTGGTGAGCGCACCCGCGGGGGGCAGAGGGGTGGCACGGTGGTGGCGTTGTCATGTCTGCGCCGGGAAGTTTTAGTGGGAAGGAGGTGGAGGGGGACGGGAAGCCCCGTGTGGAATCACCTCCCGCGCCCCTCGCGGGGTTCGGAGCCGAGCTCCGCGCGGGGGTCCCCGGGCAGGAGCACCGTGGGATGGTTTGGGCTGGAGGGCTCCTCTAAAGGTCCCACCCCGTGCCACGGGCAGGGATCCGGCATTAGGGCATCCCCCGCTGGATGCGGGGGCAAGGCGGGGCTTTAGGGCGGTTTAAACAGTTGTGGTTTGGGAAGGAGCGTTCCCGGCTCGGGTTGGGGCTTCTTCACCTGCTCCTGGTGGTGCTGCCCTTGCTGGGCTGGGGGGTCGTGGTGTCTCCTCTGCCCTCAGCACCTCCATCTGCACACCAAGTGTACAAGGACCCTCTCCTTCCTCAGAAATGGTGTTTATCCCACTTAGTGTCTCTTCTTCATTGCATCCTTAGCCCAAGGAAATGTCCGATCCTTGCGTGCAGGTCAGACTTCCTGCAGGATGGCCTCGTGTTCCCTCCACAGCACGTCCTTGCTGGAGACTCCATGTGCTCCTGTTCCTCTAAAGACAGTCTCCCCTCACCACTGATCATGTGCATGTTTAATTTCTTCTCTTGTTTTTAATATTGGAGAAAGATTCTGCAGATCTCTTTCGAAGTGTTGTGTTTTACTGAGAAGACACGTGGCAGATCAGGGCTTGATTGGCTGCGAAACATTTGATGTTGGGCCTGTAGAAGGTTGCACAGGTAACTGGAGCAGGTGGCAAATGTTCCTGGTTTCCTTCTTCCGAACATTTAGTGTTTTCCAAGACTTTCTGTGGGTGGAGGTGCAGCAGCAGCAGAACTTTTGAGAGATCAGTGAGGGTTTTGGGAAGGGCAGTTTCCCCTTGGTGGTTACTGTGAGTTTCCTTTGGTTGCACAACAAGCCTGGCATGACCCACTCTGCCCTTCAGACAAAGTGGTGCAAATCTGAGTCGGGTTTAATCCACGCTCTGCTTCATGTTTTCCATTTTTTCCCCCCAAATAAAGTGAGATAATCATTGATTGGACTATCCTTTGGCGTTCTAGAATTATTGGAAATTTAGGTTTGGTTGTATTATTTAAAAATAGGTAGAGAAATTGAGGTCAGTGGATGACACAGGACCTTGAGGAGCGCCCAACAGTTGCAGTAACCTCCAGTCACGTGGAAGTGGAGCTTCCTGGTCACTCTGAGTGTGAGAGAAGTGAAAAGATAAGGAAGAAGGGCATGTCACTGAGGAAGGAGGAGGTTTTTTGTTCTCCCTTCACACACAGTTTTGATGCTTGTTAGTTGTTGGTTTGCAGCCATCCAACAGCTCTACCAGCCTTTTAAAGATGTGTTTTTCTAGTTATAAGCAGGTTGACTTTCCTGTTTCATGGCTTAGGTGGTTGTTGCTCCAGTCAGCACGTGATGGTAGAACCTGACAGGACCAAACATTGCTGGTTTTCTCAAAACTCACAGTTACTCATTACACTTGTGTTCATTAATCATAGAATTGTAGAATGGTTTGGGTTGAAAGAGACTTTTAAAGTGCATCTTATTCCACCCCCTGCCATGAGCAGGGACACCTTCCACTATCCCAGGGTGCTCCAACCTGGCCTTGGGCACCTCCAGGGATGGAGCAGCCACAGCTTCTCTGGGCAACCTGTGCCAGTGTTGTGCATCAGGTCAGATTTCTGTTGGTGGTGATAATTTTTAGTTCTCCACCCTTGTTCTGTGGCCTTGGGGGTGTTGGTGGCAGCTGGAGGTGACTGGAATTGTTGGGTGACACGTGGTGAGTCAGGAGGTGATGGCATTGCTGCCATCAGGGGGGCTGTGACACTGTCCAGCTGTGCAGTACCACCAGTCAATAACTGTCATTGTCACGTCAAAACCCCTCCCTTGTGGACTGAGAAACCTTCAGACCAGAAGGGAGAAGTTTAATAAGGTCTGAACTGTCTCACGGCCCTCCTTTGCCTGGTGGTGTTTCGGGAGGTGCCATCACAATATTCATTTGTGTGATAACTACAGAAATTCAATGAAATAAGGCTCCAGACACTAAGAAGTGGTAGATCCATCACCACCTGTGGCTGGGGAGGAGCCTGGAGTGTGGTGGGGAGGGCAGGAGTGGGGCTGACCCCACCTTCTGCTGGCCTGCTGGCCTGATTCCACTCACCTGCAAGAGGGTTTGTGTGTTAGTAACAACTAGAGAGCACCTGGAGAATTCAGGTGTTCCCTATTAATGGGAACTACTGAGTGGTGCTAACCCAGCCAGAGCCCAGGGATTGCCCACATGTCCCTGAACTGAAGGCCCAGGAAGGGCAAACATCCCCTTTTTCTCAGCTCCTGCTGTTTGGGGCACAGTGAAGTTCTGAATAATCCCTGTGGGGCTGTGCAGAGCACGTCAGGATCCATCCCATTCCTTGTGCCTGTGCTTCAAGGAGATTGATGGGAAT